GGAAAAATTGCACTGTTTATGTTTGACAACAGTTGCAATCACAATGCATTTGCTGATGATGCATTGGTGGTTTCGAGAATGAACATGAAAAATGGCGGCAAACAACCACTCCTCCGTGATGGAAGAATGCCTGATAGCTCACCTCATATCATGACATTCACGGATGCTGATGGTGTAAAACCTAAAGATATTCGACGAGTTCTTGAAGAGCGTGGTTTATGGATGTCAGGTTTGAAAAGAAAATGCAAGGCGTATACGCAACATAATCCTGATCCAAATAAACTGGACTGTTGCGCAATACGCATCCTTTCTGCTCAACCCGACTTTGCATCACAAAGGATATACATACAGGAGGTAAGTTGCAATTAGTATGATATTTACTATTTAAGCATAACAAATTTGATTAAAAATACTTATCTTTTTAGGTTATTGAGAAAGCAGGACATATGTGCATGTTCTACCCGAAGTTCCACTGCGAACTTAATTATATTGAATCCTTTTGAGCGGAAGCAAAGCGGTACTCGCGTCAACACTGTGATTATTCGTTCAATCACCTTAAGGAAGTTGTACCGCGTGCACTAGATTCCATTACCCTAACAAAGATTCGCAGGTTTTCACGTCGTTCTGTGCGTTATATGAGTGCTTACGAACTTGGACTTTCAGGTAAGGCGGCTGTCTTTGCGGTTAAGTGGTATCGTTCTTATCGTAGGGTTCCTGAAACCGTTTTGAAAGAATTCGGTAATATGTAAAAAATTTTTTTCTTTTTTTTTCTCCAATCAAATACGATCAATGCACCAATCATATTTCTTTCACGTAATACTGGTGGCGCTGAAAATCTCCCAATTGCTATTAAAATTAGCATTAAAAAAATTCTAACTAAAAAAAATTTTTATAATAAAATGGACAAAACAAATACGTAGTTTTGTAGACCATATCAAAGACTATTAACTAACGTATTTTTTTTTAATGGTTATATGTTTAAATAAAATTCCTTTACATTTTGAAACCATTAAAAATCATTGGATGTGACTAAGCCGTTTGCATCATAGAACGATCTTGTAGATCAATTATTTGCTGATTTACTTATCTGATTTGAATGAATTTTAGCTTATTTGAATCATCGCATTTAGGAGATTCAAAAGTTAGTGTTAGTTTTTTAGTAGTTTATCTGCTTAAAAATGCTTAAATTTCATTAAATAAAAATGTGTTTATATTAATCGCAAAATTATGCAAAACTGGTATTACTTTTAGAATTGTATATAAACCTTTTCATAATTATCCTTATATTAAAACAGTTATGATTAAATTAATATAAAAATACTTATATATTAGTATAAATAATAAAATCTTTTTATAAATATATATTTTGAAAAATTATTATGTGATTAAACATGATAATTATAAACAAATCTAACTATACTAATTATATGACTAATCATATAATAATATTTAGTTGTTTAGAATTTAGATTAAAAATTAAAAAATTAGGGTTTAAGGTTTAAGGTTTAAGGTATAGGATTTAGAATTAGTTTAAAACTAAATTCAAAATTATAGTTAGTTTATTTTATCATATTAAAAGATTATTATTTTATAGATTAACTATTATAGTTATTAGATAAAAAAAGCTATATCAGTCTAGTCATAAGACTTTATAATTACATATTTAATAAAAGTTTTATTATTCAGACATTTTCTGATTATATTTAATAATTATGTAATTAATAAACTAAACTTTTTTTTACATTTTTTTTTCTTAATTATAAATTTTTTCATTTTAATACAAAAATTTGTTATAAAATTTTTAGACAATATTAATTTAATATATTTGTTTATATTTATTAAACATGTATTTAAATTTTTTTATTTTAGTAAGAAAAAAAATAAATGATATTAATTTTTAAATAAATAAATTAAGTAAAAAATACTGTTTATATTACAAATAATCGGATAAAATTTTTAGAAAAATTTTTTAATAATAAAGTTATAAAGAAAAAATTGAAAATATTAGTGATATGATGAATATATTACAGCTATAAAACAAAGAAATGGATTAAATAAATATTTAACAAATTCAATAAAAGTTGCAATTTTATGATATTAATATTTTTACTATTTTATCTAAAACCTTATTAAATTTTTAAGTGATTGAATATGATAAAACAAAAGGTTCAGATAGATTAAGTTTGAAAGAAATTAACTAATATTAGCTCATAAATTTATAGATAAATCAATATCAGAAAGATTATTAAAATAAGTATTCTTATATAATGTAATAATATATGGATTAAGAGAAGCCAAATATTATTAATTAATGCAGATATTTTTAAAAAATAAAGAATGGAGAATTTAATATATATATTTATTATTGAAAAACTAATTAATAAAGATTAAATAATAATAAAAAAGCAGAAATATTAAATATATTAAATCAAATTAATATAATTAATAATTATAAAAATCATTTTGCTAAATACTAGTATTAGTTGCAAAAATATAAAGAAAAGTTATTTTTAATTTTAGACCATTATTTAATTAACTTTTATTTTATTAATTAATAGTATTAATAACTAAAATTTTGTTTAAAAAATTTTATATTGATAAAATATGTTTAAAAGGATTTATGTATAAAGTATTTATATTGACAAAAATTAATATTATAATATAATATTACTAATCATTGTAGCTAGAAACTATAATCTAAAATTTATAAGTTATAGGAATTTTATTGAGAATAATTTTATAATCAATGATATTAGACTGAAAAAGAATTAAAATCATATGAATTACCAAGAAATAAAAAACAAACAAATATGATGAATCAAATGATAACAAAAATATATAAAACTAATAAAAATAAAGATATAATAATTATACATACAAATATATTTTAAAAAATTTATTACCAATTAATATTTAGAAAAAATATACCAAATATGGTAAATCTTAAAATTATAATTTCACCAAAATTTTTCCAATCATTAAAGATAATTATTGAATGAATATCCAAAATTTTCTATTTTATGACTGTTAAAGAAAGTATAGTTTTGAAATATTTGATAATTATAATTTAACATTAAATTAAACTACTTTAATCTTTTTTAATTAAATTAGCAATGCAAATTTCTTTAAAATATCCTTTGGTTAAACAAAAATTCTTCTTAAAATTTGAATAATAATCCATTTGAAATTTCTATGTAATTGGAACACCTTTTAACTTTAATTCAAAGTGTAAATTGGCTAATCTTAATATTAAATTAATATTCTGAAAATAATTAATAATTAATAAATTATAAATCAATCGCAAGTCTTTATTCAGTTCGACTAAATTGATCTGGTATATCAAATTCCCAATGAAATTTGGTTCATTCGGTAAAAAACCGGTAAAGAGTTGGCCTTGAAAAATGTGAGACAGAAGTAAAACCTTTGGTCTTATCGTTGTCACATCCATCATCATCATCTCGCATCGTGATCAAGAATTTTCATAAATATACGCGAATATCGTCAATAATTTCTCGATCTCATTAAGAACTTCCTCACTTAACTTTCTCAATAATTATTTAATTAACGATGTACATAATATTAAAATTTGAAACACTTTTTAGCAACTTTTCATCTTTTAAAGATCATAAAAGATTACCTTGACAGGTCATTCTCTACATATTCCCTATCATTCATGATGCACCTGAGGATATTCCACCTCCTTCATAAAATCATTTGTTGATCGTGACCAGAAATTGTCATGAAGGGTATGGTATGAGTTGGAAAAAAATTTTGGTACACATGGAGGAGAGTACAGCTCACGCTACGGGAACTCAAGTTATTGAACTTTTATTAAAAAATCATGAATTATATATAACCTTTACACATGGTAAGTGAAAGGAAAAGAAAATTATATAATCAACGTTTACCTTGATTTTAATATTAATATAATACTCTTTTACGCCCTATTTGATATTTTGATAAGGATACACCACAAATTCAAAAAAACAATATGTAATGTAGTATTACTATGCGATACAAAAATAAGAAAATTTATTTATAATCATTTTGCCCTCAGAGATTTGAAAGAATGTTTACATAATTGTAGCTGACTTCTTCCGAAATATTGAATTATATGTGAATATCAAAATGAAAATTTCAATATGACGAAATATATATTTTTTTTTGCGATTAATACGAGTCAAAATAAAGCAAAAGTATAAATATATTTATATATTAAAAAATCTTACATCAAATCACAAAAAAAATTTTTCTTCATAAATTTCTTTTATAAATATGATAAATGTCTGAACAAATCATTGATCTTGATATATTCTAATTTCTTAATACCTCAATGTTATTTCCAATTATACCATGATCATTTGCGGATTATCTTATACAAATATAACTAATTTTATTAAACCTATTGAATCTGGACCTCAAGAATCAGCAAACATTATTCAAGATGAAACTAGTTTATTTTGACACCTGCTTTAAACGATAGCAATATAACTACCGATTAGGTACCTAATAATAATTTATGACTCAACATATTTTTAATAGACGAAGCAGCTCATGTTGCAAGGAATCAGAAGATCAATGTCAAGATTATAATCGCTAGAATATGTTGACGAATTATAAAGAGAGATTACGAGACTAAGAGCTCGAGAGGAAAACATTACTTGAAAAAATTATTATTATTTTACGGAAGTTTACTTGATTGTATAAAATAAACTTGGTCTAAGCTCTGATCGCGAGATTTACACATTTCAAAAAACTTTGATAACACAATAAAAAAATTTTTTTTTGTTTCAAATT